AGGGCCGCGGGGAGCAGGCGTGGGGAGCGGGGCCTGGCGGGCTCCCAGCCCCGCCCCAGGCCCGGCGTGCGGTGTAGACGAGCCTGCCTCGGAGTCGCAGAGGTTATCAGTGTATGGAGAAGAAGAGAAGTGGGACCGCAAACCCCCAGTTTCTTCCCCATCCAAGATATAGATTGTTCCCCTGACCACGCACCCGAGAACCCGACCACCGATGGCCTGTGGCGGAAGGAGAGGTTCTGTGCGTGTCCCTTGGAAGGGGACCCCAGCAGTTCTGGTGCCTTTCCTAACAGCCTGGGGACCACACTGAAGCCACCTGGCGGGGCGTGGGGGGAGGGGTGTCAGGAAGGGAGTGAAGGCCTACCTACTTGCACCCCTTTCCTGGTTACTCATTTCTAGAGCCTGGAGGGTCCTTTATACATTCTAGGTGGTGCTGGGTCTAAAGAATTTCTATGTGGTTCTTTTTTTTTTTTCTTTAATTTATTTTCTATGTGGTTCTTTTCAAAAACCGTGTGGCTGACTGTTAAAACCATCTGCTGTGTTCAGCCAGAACCCCCTTCAGCCACCCAACCCACAAGGTGAAGTCTCCTTCATACTTGCTATGCTGGGAGCCTATTCCGGCCTCTGGCAAGTAACAGTGAATCCAGATTACTCAAGAGCAGACCAAAGGAGGGGGTGGAATAGGGCAGTTCATCCACCAACGTCTCCATGTTTTCGCTTTCCAGATAAATGATCCAGATGCGGAGCTGTGGGTGGTGAGTATGAACGGCTTGACGGTTTCCTTGATTCAAAGAACTGTGTCCCTGCATCAAAAGGTTTACTTCTCGCCAGGCCTCCCTGCTTAGCCTACTGGAAAAACTTAGAGATCAAGTCCTGTAACCTCTTACCTAAAATACCAGTGGGGGGAGGGTCCAGGTGACAATGAAGTAAGTGTGTGTGTGTGTGTGTGTGTGTGTGTGTGTAAACCCAAAACCATCTGGAGACATTCTTTGTTTTTATTTATTTATTTTTTATTGTCAGTGGACACATACATTCACCAGAGAAAGGGGAGAAAGAGAAAGCACCCCAATGGGGAATGGTCACACAGCAATCCCTTGTCTGTTTCGCCATCCTTCAGGAGTTGGGGTATGCTCATGCACCCAGTATGATTTTCAAGTTGCCAGGGCCGAGGTTTGAACTGCAGTTGGTACTGTGGGATCCAGTCTTCCGGGCCCAGCACTTAAACTACTGCACCACGGAGAAAGCCCAACATACAAGGCTTTCTGCAGTACCTCTTGGGACTAGATGCCCCAACACAGGGCACTTTCCTGAGAACACTTAGTAGGCCTCTCAAGATCAATTGAACCATGGGACCAGCAGTTAGCATAATGGCTATGTGGCTGGCCTGCCATGTAGCTGACAGTGGTTCGAGTCCTGGACCCAGTGGCTTAAACTCACACTGGGCATGTGTGCATGCGTGCCCAAGATCCCGAGAGGAGAATGGAGGAGTAGGGATTGTGGTGTGGCCATCCCCCCTGGGGGGTGATTTCTCACTTTCTGTCTTTCTGTCTCTCTCTTTCTGGAAAGTGCATGCACCCTATAGCAAAAAGAAAAAAAAAATCTATTGAACCATACCTTAGGAGTTTCTCGCCAGAAACTTCAGCAAACTTTGGACTGGGAAGCAGCAGGTCTTTGTTCTGTGCTTTACTAATTCAGTGAGTTGTAGTCATAGGAAATAACTGAAGCTCATAAAACCTACAGTATTCACTGAACCGACGCTCCAGACAGTTTGGAGGAGGCAAAGATCGCCCCCATAATACATTTTCTGAAATAATCAGAATTCTGCCAGGATTCTCTCTACCAATGCACAAGACTGTACAGTATCACCCAGGAGATGGTTTCTAGGCTTTAGAACAACATTGACCATGTAGAGATGAGCAATACGTGAAAGTGTTTGGAATTATAGAAAGATTTTTGCTATAAGGCATGTATATTCCTCAGAGAGACAGAGACAAAAAGGGAAAACTCACCCCCAGACGGGACGGCCATGCCACAATCCCTTCTTCTCCATTCTCCTCTCAGGATTTTGGGCATGCATGCACACACACCCTCCATGAGTTTTAAGCTGCCATCAGGGACTCAACCACAGTTGACTACTTGAGTTCAGCAACAAAACCATTAGACCATCTGCTGGTCCCCCAGCATTTGGGATTATAATGTGAAATTCTAATCAATTTTCTTGTTTAGTGCAATAAAAACCACATTCTGATATTGCTTATTGTCCAGGTTCACATGCCCCTGAATCAAATCAAATGCCCTCTTCCTTAGCACTCTGCTTCCAATCCTGAGTTCCAAACAATGATTTCTACACCAAGAAGTCTCAGATACCCAGCTTAATGTTGCATTCCGAAAGACTGCTGGACATCGCCTCCTGTAGCTCCCACGGCTCCTCAGATAGTCCCAAGGTCCTGTCTTGTATATTTTCCTCCAAATCCCACTCCTCCTCCTCACTCACAGCAGAATCTTTCTCTGAGTCAACCTTACTCAGAATCTTGTCTTTACCACTTCTCTGGTTCTTATCACTGCCTTTGAGATCCCCAGAACAAGAGTGAATTAGAAAACAATCCAACAAAATGTGGTCAAGGTCTAATTGATTCTCCATACGGTACGCATACATTTAACCTTTCATTCCATGCTCTGGGCATACTGTAAATAACAAACCCCACATCCTCCCTGTATCTTCCCTCATTCCGGTTCAGTGCCCCCATTATCTCCCACATAGACTGTTGGAATAGTCTCCCAATCCTTCTGTTTGCCCCTGATCCCACCATCCCTGAGTTGCATTTGCCCAAAACCCTGCAAGGAGGGAGAGATGGATCTGAGTTGCATTTGCCCAAAACCCTGAAAGGACGGAGAGATGGAAGAGAAGAGATTGTGCTGTGACCATGTCCCATGAGAGGTTCTTTCTCCCTTTCCATCTTTCTCTCCATGTGTCTCTCTCCAGCAAGCACACACACTCTTTTAAAAAATAAAGTGTATAGCCTTTACAACCTCCAAATAAACTACAGGTTCCCGGCAGAAGCAGAGTAATTGATGTGGTTAAGTAGCTACATTTCTTGGAAAGTCCCACCCATGCTTCTTATAAACCTACTCTCCCCACTTGCCCTCTGCCTGCAAACCACACACACACACACACACACACACACGCACGCACAGACACTAGTTTGGCTAGAGCCTACTTGCTATGAATAAGGCTTGGCAACAGGGCCTCGTTAGGGCCAGCCTTGCAATGTTCAAACCAACTTAGCAGTTTCGAAAATGAAGAGCCTAACCAGATTAACCTGTGTCCCTAACCCACACATTGTTAGAACACTTTCCGTGATCTCAGAGAGGACTCTTCAGCAGGGTCATTTAGCTACTCAAGGCTGCTCCTGCCCTACTTTTCAATGAACATTTTCCTTTATGTAAATGAGGGAAGGCTATTTGGACGTGGAAGTTGCTTGTGAGAGACTGGAAGTTCAGCATGTCTTAAACCTCAGACTGCTGGCAGGTGGCATGGTGGTTAAGGTGCTGGACTCCCATATGGCTGACCACAGAACAAGTCCTGGACCTGGTGGCTTGCTTTCTCACTGGGACCAGCATGTAGCGTAATGGTTATATCATTGGACTCCCACGTAGTCAACTGTGGTTCAAGTCCCAGACCCAGTAGCTTAAACTGCATGTCAGGCACATGTGCGTATTTGCCCAAAATCCTGAGAAGAGAATGGAGGAGAAGAGATTGCAGTGTGGCCATCCCCTTTGGGGGTGATTTCTCACTTTCTGTCTCTTTCTCTGTCTCTTTGGCAAGTGCAAAAAATAACAAAAATATCTCTAAAACAAACAAACCAGACTCTGCTCATTTCTAGAGCCTGAAGCTGAGTTTTTTCCTGTAATAGCCTATAGTCTAGGAGGAAGGGAAATAAAATTATAACCTGACATGGTAAGTGCCACAAAAACAGAGGTTACCACTTCCTCAAATGTTACTGGAAACCTGAAGTAAATCATGAACTTGATGGCCACCTCACCTTCTGCCCTTCCCAGATGCTTCCAAACATCTCATATATTAGGCAAATGTCCTAACCCGCATAATTTCCTCTTTTTGCTAACAGATGGTGTACACACTCCCTGCAGTTCTGACCCTGCTTGTTGGATTTAACCCTCTTGTCACAGGTATACACTTCATCTTCCAAATGAAGATACAGCAAATTCACATTTTCATTGCCAACAGAAAAAATAACCAACTGTAAAATGAATAATTAATAATTAATGCGGTTTATTTCCAAGCCAAATGTGAGTGACCTAGGCCCGGAGAAGAGGCATACATGCCTTTCTCAGGGTGATCATGTACAGAGGTTCCTTTTATTTGTTTTTGAGATTGACAGGCAACATTTAATTAAAAGATTTCCCATTGGTCTGGCCCAAGAAGGCGGGACATGTAGAAGCGGGCCTTGTAGGTTAACCTAAGAATGGGGTCCCACAATTCTTAGGTTGGTGATTGGAAGGGAAGAGCTGTGTCTTGGGAAGAGATAAACAAAAGATTATACTGTAATCGATTGAAATATACATCTCAAAGAAACTATGCCAGGGATAGGAGGTAGGAAGAATCCTGTTAATAGAAAATAAATGGTCTGTTAATGTTTGTGGGCATGACTTCCCCAGTCCCTTTTGAAAAGATTTTGGAAAATAGGAAAAGTAGTCAGACTTCCGTCCGTATCATGTAATAATGGAAATCTATCTGCTCAACTCCCAATAGAAAATGGAGCTCTTTAGGCATTTCTCCACATTTCCGAGAATAAGAGGGGCTAATTCTAATATAGATTGTCCTTCCCTATCTTCAGGAATACTTTACAAGGAAGCCATGTAGGCCATTCTCTATTATTCGTGTATGCTGATGTGGAATAATGGTATGTAGCATAGCATTTGAAAAAGAAGGGGTTTAGTCATTGCACTGATTTCTTAAGCCACAAAACCAGTGTCACATCAGCAACCATCTAAGAGCTGATCTTGTGTCCCAGACTAAGAGGCAATCGATGCTTATGATATATTTAGTCTGTACAACCCAGTGCAACTAATCTTTTTTTTAAAAGAATTATTTTATTTTATTTATTATATTATTATTTTTGATTTGACCAAAGAGAGACAGAGAAGGAAAGTGAGCAAGCAAGCTGCCAGGTCCAGGATTCGAACTGTGGTCAGGCATGTGGGAGTCCAACACCTTAACCACCATGCCACCTGCTGACCCCACAACTAATTTTCTTTACAACTTCTTCTTAGAGCAATACCACTCCTATTAATCATTTTATTATTTTGAATTTATTCAATACCTATGAATACAAGCACCACATATGTACAGAAAATATTTCTATAACAAATCTCCAGGTTTTTTATTAAAATAATCTCCCTATGTACTGTCATAATACCCACAGTGAAGTAACATAATGATTTTATATGTGCTTCTCTTCCCACACCTAGGCTGTCAACCCTTAAAAGTATGATAATGGGGCCAGCATGTAGCATGCTGGTTAGGGGGGCTGACTGCACTGTTTTCATTCTAGACCCAATGGCCTGAGAAAGACACTGGGTATGTATGTATGTGTGCCCAAAGAAAAGAGGGAGAAATGAGGAGAAGGAACTGCCATGTGACCACGCCCTTTAGGGGCACTTTCTTGCTTTCCCTCTTTATCTGGCCAGTGCATGCTCCCTCTGGCAATTTTTATTTTTTTTTAAGTAGGATTATGTCTTATGTCTCTTTGCATGCCTCTTAGTCTGGTAGGGCTGCTATAACAAAAATAGCATGGACTGGAAGACCTAGACAGAACGGCATTCTATGTATCCAAGTTCACCACAGCTGGGGAGTTGAACCAAGGTCAAGGTTCTGGCAGATTGGGTTTTCCCAAGGAGCTTTCTTAGCCTTCTTTGGGCTGCACTAATGCTATTCATGAAGGCTAAGGCCTCATGAATGAATTACTCTGAAAGGCCCCACCTCTTAATCCATCCCTTGGGGGCTAGGATTTCAACACAGGAATTTCGAAGGGGATAGGAGAATTCAGCCCATAGCAACATGGCAGGCGTGCGGAGGTACTTGTTGAATGAACGAGTGGCTGTGAAACAGGCTTGTCATGTATTTATCCTGAAGCCTGCTCCTTGGACTCCTTCCATGTGAATCCCAGGTAATTATACATAAAAATGCTCTTACATAACTGACTTGTATGCCCACGGGCTACCTAACTCAATGCCAAGCGCGATATAGTAAAAGAATTATTTTATTTTATTTATTATATTATTATTTTTGATTTGACCAAAGAGAGACAGAGAAGGAAAGTGAGCAAGCAAGCTGCCAGGTCCAGGATTCGAACTGTGGTCAGGCATGTGGGAGTCCAACACCTTAACCACCATGCCACCTGCTGACCCCACAACTAATTTTCTTTACAACTTCTTCTTAGAGCAATACCACTCCTATTAATCATTTTATTATTTTGAATTTATTCAATACCTATGAATACAAGCACCACATATGTACAGAAAATATTTCTATAACAAATCTCCAGGTTTTTTATTAAAATAATCTCCCTATGTACTGTCATAATACCCACAGTGAAGTAACATAATGATTTTATATGTGCTTCTCTTCCCACACCTAGGCTGTCAACCCTTAAAAGTATGATAATGGGGCCAGCATGTAGCATGCTGGTTAGGGGGGCTGACTGCACTGTTTTCATTCTAGACCCAATGGCCTGAGAAAGACACTGGGTATGTATGTATGTGTGCCCAAAGAAAAGAGGGAGAAATGAGGAGAAGGAACTGCCATGTGACCACGCCCTTTAGGGGCACTTTCTTGCTTTCCCTCTTTATCTGGCCAGTGCATGCTCCCTCTGGCAATTTTTATTTTTTTTTAAGTAGGATTATGTCTTATGTCTCTTTGCATGCCTCTTAGTCTGGTAGGGCTGCTATAACAAAAATAGCATGGACTGGGAGACCTAGACAGAAGGGCATTCTATGTATCCAAGTTCACCACAGCTGGGGAGTTGAACCAAGGTCAAGGTTCTGGCAGATTGGGTTTTCCCAAGGAGCTTTCTTAGCCTTCTTTGGGCTGCACTAATGCTATTCATGAAGGCTAAGGCCTCATGAATGAATTACTCTGAAAGGCCCCACCTCTTAATCCATCCCTTGGGGGCTAGGATTTCAACACAGGAATTTCGAAGGGGATAGGAGAATTCAGTCCATAGCAACATGGCAGGCGTGCGGAGGTACTTCATGCTTGTTGAATGAACGAGTGGCTGTGAAACAGGCTTGTCATGTATTTATCCTGAAGCCTGCTCCTTGGACTCCTTCCATGTGAATCCCAGGTAATTATACATAAAAATGCTCTTACATAACTGACTTGTATGCCCACGGGCTACCTAACTCAATGCCAAGCGCGATATAGCCATTTCATTTTTTACGGCCTTCATGAACTCTTAATAACCCTTCCGTTGAACAATTTTATACTATTACGTGGTGTCTTATAATGGAAAAAAAATACATTTTACATTAGTTATTAACTTATTTTTATTAATAGGGATTATGAGTCCTGACTGAGTATTCCTTTTTTTTCTTTTTTTTTTTTTGAGAGGTTTTTGCTACAGGGTGCGTGCCCTTGCCAGAGAGAGAGACTGAGAGACAAAAAGCGAGAAATCACCCCCCAGGAGGGATGGCCACGCCGCAATCCCTTCTCCTCCATTCTCCTCTCGGGTTCTTGGGCACGCACACACATGCGTCCAGCGTGAGTTTAAGCCACCGGGTCCAGGACTTGAACTGCGGTCGACTACATGGGAGTTCAGTGACATAGCCGTTGCACTACCTGTTGATCCCCCTGACTATTCTCTACTTTCTTTGAAACACCTTCTACTCCTTCCTGGTCTCCATGTCATGGTCCTTTGGCTCCCGGTTCTCCTCTTCACGATGCTACGTCCAACAGAACGTAGACTCGGTTTCCATGAGGTTGCCACCAACACCTTAGAATTGAATTGTTAGTCCTGATTTGTTATCTCTTTACATGGAGCCAAATCACTGTAGCCAAGGGGATAAAATGAGTTGATTGACCTAGCCAGGGTCAGGATCATTGAGCCACATGGGCTCGAGGTGTGGAAATATTGGGACTCCGTACCCTCCAAATAAGGATAGTCATCTTGGAAAGGAAAATGCTGAGCAACTACAATAAGAAACGCTCCCTTTGGGCTTGTCCCACAGCACCATAGTTAAGGGAGCCGGATCCCACACAGCCAACCATGATCTGGGTTCTGGGTCAGGCAGCTTGAAAATATGCCAAGCGCATGTGTGTGTGCCCACAATCCCAACTGGACAGAGAATGGAGGAAAAGGGATTATGGCGTGACCACGAGACCCATGGGGGGTGCTTTCTCTCCCTCACTCCCTTTCTCTTTTTCTCTCTTTCCTCTGTCTTTGGTGAGTGCATGTGCCTTCTGGGCAGGGGCGAAGAGATCCTCTTAAGTTTATAATTACTACTATAACCTCTAAATGCCTTTCCTGAAAGGCGACTGTAATGAAACAGGTATAAAGGCATCACTTTTATTTCCAGAATGTGAACCCAGGATTACATTGGGGATCTCTTTTTAGGTCACTTCATTTGGCGGAGTGTCTCTGGAATACACATCTTCTTCTGTGTGGTGTGGGCCTCCCGCTTGATGTCCTACCTCTTGCTTCATACACAACAGAACATCTTACATGAGGAGGAAGGCAGGTGAGCTGTGCCTTCTGCTGGCTGGAGGGGCGGGTAGAACGGAGAGCCCTTCCTACGGCATGTCTTATCTGTGCACGGTGTTACTGGATTCCCGTAACAACACTCAGAGGAGCAGGGCGGGCATTATCTCCTTTATAAGCTGAAGAAACTGAAATATGATGAGCCAGGATCCAAACCCAGCACTGTCTGTCCAGCTCCGTGATTACTGCTGCAGGCGGCCACTGCATATTCCATGACTTTACTGTCAGGCGCTTGGACCTTGGCCTCCTGATAACTAGCAAGGGCGCTCTACAGTGCTGCTCAGTCTAATCTAATGAGGTTGTAACTGTCAGCCTTCTGACTCAGCTCTGCTGTAAGCCGGGATCTGATGTACAAGTGTGATCGGCCCCCTCAGGGCTCAGTACTTTTGTCAACCTCATTAGCCTTGCCCTGGTTCCTCTCCTGTCATCTCCTCTCCTTGTCATGACCACTTGTTCCCATTTTATCATCTCTTCCTTTGCTTCCGATTACCTGTGACTCCGACTAATTAAGTTCCCCCTTACTTTCTTTTCTACCCCACATCCTGCCAACACCTCAGTGACCTGCAAGTTGAGCATCACTGATAAGGTGCCGCTTTGTTAAAGGCTCTAATCTTCTGGAAAACTGGAGAGCAAATCAAGTTGTGTCTATAGATGGAAGTGGGAAGGGTAAAATGGGTTGAATCACCACCAACAGGAAGTGCATGAATTGTGATGAACTCAAAGCGGAGCTTCTAGCGATGATATGGCAGAGAACTATTTTTTATTCTGTGTGACAGATATGTGTTTATAACACACATATCTAGAAGCATATACCCACCCCAGATCATTAGCCTGACTCATTCCTCTCCTCTAAACAGTTACTCCAATGCCAGCAATATGTGCTTAGATTATTTAGTGATTTTAACTTATCCTGCCTAACACTGAACTCTAAAAAATGTAAAAATAATGAACCCTGGAATTGTTTTATTGATTGTACCATTCCCCTCTCAGAACCTGAAATGTGTGTGGTGTGTGTGTGTGTGTGTGTGTGTGTGTGTGTGTGTGCATTATTTCAGAGAGAGACAGAAAGAAAGTAAGAAATCATCCCCCGGGGGGATGGCCATGCTGCAATCCCTTATCCTCCATTCTCCTCTCAGGATCTTAGGCATGCAGGCACATGCGCCCAGTGTGAGTTTCAAGCTTCCAGTCCAGGACTTGAACTGCAGTCAGCCATGTGGGAGTCCAGGGTCCCAACCACCATGCCACCTGCTAGCCCCTAAGTGTGGTTTTTAAAATACTGATTAAATTTTTCAGGAGATTCCACTTAAAAGTTAAACAACAATCATAGATCTCATATCTGCCTCATGCAAATTTATTTTCATAGAATGGTTTAACTGCCTAAAAAAAAGTAACATGAATCATGGCCAGACTTGAAAATACAAGCAGACTTTAAAAAGTCTGTGGGTAAATAGAATTAAAGTATGAGTTTACTTTGGCACAAAATTTTTGAAATCCACACATAGCTTTTTAATAATAAGCATTTTCCAAAACCTTCTTGAAAACCCTGCATGTATTTTGCAGATGCCATATATCTTGGGGGACAGTCACCCAATCAGAATGCACTATCAAGTGGTCATGGAGAGAATATCATAATACACATCTCACTTGTAGCCACTTCAAAAAATGAAATTATGCTATTTTCTAGAGAACTCTCTGGCCTGGTGATCATCACAGCGTGGATGAGCCTCTGCCTCAGCTCGTCAAAGTAAGTTTTCAATTCATTAGTTAAAATCAGATGTCTTCGAGGTTGCTAAAACAAGGTAGTTAGGGAGACTATTGACACATAAGTAAAAATAGGAATCTTTTGAAAGAAATCTTTGAAGGAAATCTTTTCTTTTCTTAAGGGAAGCTAGTAATAGTTGATTCAATAATTCATGATTGCCCATGTTCATGAACTAAGTTTTCTACCTGGCCTAGTGGAGTTATTGCAGTTGGCGGCCAAGAGGGTGTTCTTTTGGGTGACGGTAAGAGGTTCATGTTAGATAGTGCTGTTGGGGATGTTTATCATGACATACCTAACACCTTGCTGTTCCTCTGTGATGGTAATAAGTCTCTGGTAATCACTGATTAAATCCATTCATTCATTGGGTTGTGAAATGGCGATTGTCTAGGTATATTGTTATTATTTGTTTATTACCTCAAAAACTTCTATAAAGTGAACTTCTACTTATCAATTCTTTAATAATTCTGTGGTATAGATCGTCAACAACACAAAATAAATAAATAAATAAATAAATAAATAAATAAATAAGGAAAAGGACTGATTCTTTCCCTTTATTTATCAGTTTTCAAAATTAATTGTTTCTTACTTGGGTGTCCTGCAAAGGTGACCAATGAATTTTGGGTTTTTTTGTTTGTTTGTTTTCTTTCTTTGTTTACTACCATTATAAAGCCATGGATATCCAAATATTGATAAGTTTCGATCCATGGCAGTTATTATCTCTATTGATACCCAAACTATCTTATCTTTTTTTTTTTTTTTGAAGAAGTTTTTGCCTTAGGCATGGGCACTCACTGGAGAGAGAGAGACAGAGACAGAGATAGTGAGAGGGGAATTGAAAAATCACTCGGCAGGTGGATGGCCATGCCACAATCCCTTGTCTTCCATTCTTCTCCCAGGATCTTGGGCATGCATACACAAGCAGCTGGTATGATTTTTAAACCACCGGGTCTGGGACTCAAACTGCAGTCAGCCATGTGGAGTTCAGTGATGTAACCACTATGCCATCTGCTGGCCCCCAAACTGTCTCATCTTTACCAGTGGCACTTATTCAGATTGACTCCTGAATTCCTTATTTTAAAGTTTCTTTACTTATTCGGTGAGTCAGAGAGATACAGAGAGAAAGAGAAGGAAAGAGATAGGTACCCCCCAGTGAGGTTTTAATGTTGTAATCCTTTCCTAGCTCTGCCAGTCCAGGTCATGGACATATGTGTGCCTGGTATCCTGAGGTGGGAGACCCTGTTGAGGGTGTTTGTCTTTCTCTCTCTGTCTCTCACTGCTGAGAAATAATTAAATGTACTTTTTAAAAAAACGAGGCTTTTAAAATAACGATATCATTAAAAAGTGGATTTAAGATGCCAAAGGAAGGTACTTTTTAATGACAAAAGGTCAGTTCATCAAGAAGATAGAACAATTCTAAATTGGTGATGGACTACTGCCTCGAAATAGGAAAGAAAAATAGAAATATTCATAGTTGTCTTCAGAGACTTTAACGTACGTCTTTCAGTCACTAGTAGAACAGATGGAAAAAAAGAAGTCAGTGAAGATACAGAAATCAGTGAAGCTACAAAAGAAGACAGTGAAGATAAGAAACCAAGAATGGCAGAATCCACATTCTTTTCAAGTACACATTCAATATTTCCAAAAAGAAATATGTTAGCCCATGACATAAGTCGCAACAAATTTCAAAGGGCCAAAATCCTACAGAAAATAGTCTTTGACCACAGAGCAAATAGGCTAGAAATTATTAACAAAAAGATAATTAGGCAATTGCTCTAAATCTGAAAGCTCAGAAATGCACTTTCGAATAACATTTAGATCAAAGAAGAAATCACAGTGGAAACTGGAAATTCTTTTGAACCAAATAAGAAGAACATGACTTAAGAAAATTTGTGGAATGCAGCTAAAAATCATGCTTAGAGGGAAAGTTATATTCTTAAGCACACAGAGTTAAAACAAATGAACTAAAAACAAGAAAGGCTGAAAGTCAATGAGTTAAGTTTCCAAGAAGTTAGAAATTCTCCAGTTAAAGAAATTAGAAAAAGAACACCAAAGAAACAAGAAGATAAACATAAAAGCAGAAACAAAAAAGAAAACTGACATAAAAAGTAATTAACAAGGGCAAATATTGGCTCTCAGAAATAATACAACATTGATAAGCTCTGGCAAGACTAAAAAGAGAAAAAAAAGGAAAGAGCAGGGACAAGCAAGAGTAGGCACAAATGTGGAGGCATATTCTTTTTTGCTATAGGGTGCGTGCGCTCACCAGACAGACAGAGAGAGACATAGAGACAGAAAGCGAGAAATCACCCCCCCAGCGGGGATGGTCACACCACAATCCCTTCTCCTCCGTTCTCCTCTTGGGATCTTGGGCACACACGCACATGCGCCCGGCATGAGTTTTAAGCCACCAGGTCCGGGACGCGAACTGCAGTCAACTACGTGGGAGTCCAGCGACATAGCCATTACGCTAACTGCTGGTTCCCTGGAGGCATATTCTGATGTCAGGAATGAAAAAGAGAACATCATCGCATATCTAACAAATATTGTAAAAATTATAAGCTGGTGTTATGAACAATGTTATGCCAATAAATTTGAAAACACAGATGAAATAGACAAGTTTCTTGAAAAATACAACACACCAAAACTGACACAAGAAGAAATAGATTAGTCCCATAGCTATTATTGAAATTGAGTCCATAATTTAAAGTTTTCCTAAAGGAAAACTCTAGACCGAGATGACAAAACTGGAGAAAGTTCTCCTTAACATTTAAGGGAGAAATGATACCAACTTTCAACAAACTGTTCTAGAGAATGAAAAAAGAAGGAATACTTTCCCACTCATTTTATGAGGAAAAACAATTTTGATATCAAAACTTGACAAGAACATCAAACACCAAAAAGAAAAATACACAGCAATCTCACTCATGACCACAGGTAGAAAAATCATAAATAAAACATTAGCAAATCAAACTATGCAATATATAACACAACCACCAGATTGCATTTATCCTAAAAATATCAAGTTTAACACTCAAAAACAAACCACTGTTTTCCACTACATTCACAGAGTAAAAAAGGAAAATAAATTATCTTCTTGATCTATATAGAAACAGCATTTGATAAAATTCAACAACTATTCACAATAAAAGTTCCTGGAAAACAAGCAGAGAAAAGAACTTAACATGATACAGGGTATCCACACCAAAGCATAATACTTAATGGTGGACATTTGAAAACTTTTATTCTGAGATGAGGAATGAGATGAGGTTAGCTACTATTGCCATTTCTATTCAATATCAGTCTAGCTATTGTCCTAGCCAATACAATAAGGTAAACAATGTAAAAGGCCCAAGGATTAAATAAATACATAAATAAATAAAGTTTTAATTATTTGTGGGTGGCATTATTGAATATGTAGAAAAATGTTAAGAATCTAATGAGTTTAGCAGGATTGTTAGAAATCACTAGATAAATATACAAAAAAATCAGATGCATTTCTATCAGCAAGTAGCAGAATGTGATTAAAATGAAGAGTTAGGTAAGTAGCAGTTAGCATAATGGTTATGTCGCTGGACTCCCACGTAGTCGACCGCAGTTCGCGTCCCGGACCCGGTGGCTTAAAACTCACGCCGGGCGCGTGTGCATGCGTGCCCAAGATCCCGAGATGAGAATGGAGGAGAAGGGATTGTGGCATGACCATCCCCCCTGGGGGGTGATTTCTCGCTTTCTGTCTCTATGTCTCTCTCTGTCTGTCTGGCGAGCGCACGTGCCCTATAGCGAAAAACCTCTCCAAAAATAAGTGAATAAATAAATAAATAAAATGAAGAGTTACCATTTAGCAGAAACAGGCAAAATCTCTATCCAAAACTATAAAAGAATATAAGAGAAATTAAAAAATAGCTAAATAATTTAGGGATAACCAATATTGGCAAAGGGTAAATAGATAAATGAATGGGACATAATAAAATGTAGAAACAAATGCATACGCATGCAGTCTTAACTTATGACAAATGTGGTACTGCACAGTAGAAAAGAAGGCAGTCTTTTTGTTAATTGTGCTTCATCAAATAAATACCCGTGTGGAAAAAAAAGTGAAGTAACTCCTACCTTTCACACAGATCAATTCCAGGAGGATTATAGATCTAACGGAAAAAAGCAAAACAATCAAACTTCAAAGGAAGGTAACTTGGGGCCAGATGAGATTGTGGGAAAATGTGACACCTCACAGGCAGTCCTATTTGAGAAGGTGCTGGTTCAAATGTAGAGACCTTCCTTGCCCATGATCAAAGGCTCGCTGAAGACTGGGGTGGATTGTAGTATCAGGACTCTGTTGTGGGTGCCCTTTCATGGAAGAAATAAATAATAAATTTAGGGGGGAAAAAAGTAACTTAAAATGTTCAAGACTTTGGGGAGGGAAAGTTTTCTTAAACAGGACACAAAAATCATTAGGAGAGATCAATTAATTTTCACATTGTCTTAATTATTCATTGACTTCTGTTCCTCAAAAGACATCATAAAGTGGGTAAAGATAGTTGCAAAACATGCAAACAGTAAGGATTTGTAATAAGAATATATAAAAATTCCAACAATTCAACAAGTTACATTTCAATTTAAAAATTGAGAAGAGTATGCTAAAATGCAATATGCTGGGGGCTAGCAGGTGGCATGATGGTTAAGAGTGTTGGATTCCCTCATGGTTGACCATGGTTCAAGTCCCAAACCTGGTGGCTTGCTTTCTCACTTTCTCTCTTGCTTTCTCTGTCCCTCTCTGGTCAAATTAAAATAAATAACTATATGAATAAAGTTCAATAAAAGAATTCTTTAAAAAATGCAATATAGGGGGCCAGCAGGTGGCATAGTGGTTAAGGTGCTGGACATTACCACATGGTTGACCATGGGTCAAGCCCTGGATCTGGCGACTTGCTTTCTCATTTTCCCTCTCTCTCTCTCTCTCTGTGTCTCTCTCTGGACAAATTAAAATAAATGAATGAATAAATAAAATTAAATATTTTTTAAAGATGCAATATGTCTTATTAAGTCAACCTTTATACTTGTTTTCAAAGCAATACTTTGTTTATTGGATTTTTATTTATAATATGTTTTCCATGTTTTATAGGAATCCAGTTGGTGGAAGAATTCAATTGGCTCTTGCCATTGTGATCACTCTTTTCCCATTTATCTCCTGGGTCTACATATACATAAACAAGGAGATACGGTCTTCTTGGCCAACCCACTGCAAGACAGTAATGTAAATGAATTCAAGAATCCTTGTCTTAAAATTAATATTTTAAATTAATTTTTTTATGCATATTGGGGTAACAAACCAATTTCTCAGAAGTTTATTTCAGGTAATCTGAGTTTATATTAGAGATTACTTTCTTTGTTGTTTTTTGGAAGGTCCTAAGAAATTTAAAAGACTGCCTACAGTGCGGTGTAAGATTAGATGTAACTAGCAATACTCAGGGTCTAGCATTCTCTGGAGGCTTCTTTTCTGAAAAGTACTGTGTCACGGTGTAGTGGAAATGTAGGACAAAAGTTAACAAGTACGAGTTCTAATTAAGCTTCATCTCCATCTGTGTGACTGGGGGAAACAAAAATACCTCCTGTTGGATATTTTCCTATCTATAAAATAGGATTAATACTAGGTCTCCTACTTATATAGTTGCAAGAATCAAACTAGATAACATGAGAGTACTCTGAAAAAAAGTGTTTGCAAAGGTTACAAAGGGCTGTGCATGATTAAAATAGAGGGGAGTAGAATTTGGGTAATATATTTCAGTCAAGGTTGGAGAGAGGATTACATCTCTGAATTAATCTCATTACACTGAATTGGTATGGTGCTATTAACTAAATGAGGAATCTAGGTGAACCTAACAGGCATGTCTCAGAAAGAAAGAAAGCTGGGTGAAATAATTTAGGACCAACCAAGAAGGAAATAGGGGCCCAGCCACCATGGTGTGCTGCTAAGACTCTGTAACCTATAGGCTGGAACCATATAGGAGGCCTGGGTTTGAGTCCCCATCCAACCTAAAAGTCAGATGTGGTGGTACATACCTAGGTCTCAGCTGGGAGACTGAGGTAGAAGGATCTTAATGGCAAGACTTTATCATGAAAAAGTAAACAAAAAAAGATGAAAACAGGGAATAGTTCATTTCATTCTAAATAAGAAATAAGGCTAAAATCTATGTACATTCTTTAAAAATGAATATCCAAAGTACCTGTAGAAAGAAAAGCCATCTCAGAACTGTACTCCCCAGTGTGGTAGTGACAAACCACTTGTTGCTAACAAGTTCGTGGAGTGTGACTAGAATGACTAAAAAGTACATTTTAATTTTGTTAAATTTTCATTTTAATTTAAAAACTGATATTCAATTATTTAGAAAACATGGTTAAGTGTGTTGGGAACAACTCAGGTCTGTGAATCTACTTTGTCAACTGCAAATTTTCTGATTCCTAAATACAGATCAAGTATTGTAATGAAAATTCAATGTCCAAATGGACTATCTGTATAAAATACACACTGTGTTTTAAAATTGTATTATCAAAAAGAAAGGATGTAAAATATTTTATATTGATTACATTTTGCAATAATATTTGAGATATTTGGTTGAATAAAATATGCTATAAAAATTAATTTGTTTATATTTACTTGTTTAAATGTAATGGCTAAAATATTTTAACATACCAATGGGGCTCACAGTGTATTTCTGTTGGCCAGTTGCTATCTTAGAGTATGGGAGACTGAGGTGGAAGGATCTTAATGGCAAGACTTTATCATGAAAAAGTAAAGAAAAAAAGATGAAAACAGGGAATAGTCATTTCATTCTAAATAAGAAATAAGGCTAAAATCTATGTACATTCTTTAAAAATGAATATCCAAAGTACCTGTAGAAAGAAAAGCCATCTCAGAACTGTACTCCCCAGTGTGGTAGTGACAAACCACTTGTTGCTAACAGGTTCTTGGAGTGTGACGAGAATGACTGAAAAGTACATTTTAATTTTGTTAAATTTTTGAAAAGTACATTTTAATTTTGTTAAATTTTCATTTTAATTTAAAAACTGATATTCAATTATTTAGAAAACATGGTTAAGTGTGTTGGGAACAACTCAGGTCTGTGAATCTACTTTGTCAACTGCAAATTTTCTGATTCCTAAATACAGATCAAGTATTGTAATGAAAATTCAATGTCCAAATGGACTATCTGTATAAAATACACACTGTATTTTAAAATTGTATTACCAAAAAGAAAGGATGTAAAATATTTTATATTGATTACATTTTGCAATAATATTTGAGATATTTGGTTGAATAAAATATGTTATAAAAATTAATTTGTTTATATTTACTTGTTTAAATGTAATGGCTAAAATATTTTAACATACCAATGGGGCTCACAGTGTATTTCTGTTGACCAGTTGCTATCTTAGAGTATCTGGATGGCAACTTCTTTATTTTTATCATTTTTTATTCTTTATTTTTATTTTATGTTTTTACATTTTTCCGTCTGTCAAATATGTCTTCCCCCTGCATTTCACACCCACCTTCTACCACCAGTCTCTACCATCTACTCCCCCTTTAATAGTCTCTAGCATTTACACCCATTCTCTCCACCATCATATCTTTAGATCTCGCGGCCTCTTCTGTAGTACTCAGAACAAATTGAGTGGCCCACTTCACTAAACACTAAGTCTTCTATATTCATCCATTTTGAGTCAAACGATAGGATCTCATGGTTTCTTATAGCTGTATAATATTCCATAGTATATATGCACCAGTTTTTCAACCCAGTCAACAGTTTTTGGACACTTAGGTTGGTCCCATGTTTTAGCAATTGTAAATAATGCAATAATGCAATAAACATAAATGTGCAAGTGTCATTCTGATTGAGTGTTTTCCTATCCATAGAGCAAATACCAAGAAGTGAGATTACTGGGTTATATGGAAGTTCTATTTGTAGATTTCTGAGAAACCTCCATATTGCTTTCCATAGAAGTTGGACTAATTTATATTACCACTAACAGTGTAAGAGAGTTCCCTTTTCACCTCAGCCTTCCCAACACTTGTCATTCTTTATTTTGTTTTGATCCTAGCCATTGTAACTGGATATCTCATTGTGATTTAAATTTGCATTTACCTTATGACAAGAGAGAGAACAATTTTTCATATGCCTTTTGGCTATTTGTAAGTCTTCCTTGGAGAGTTTTCTATTCATTTGTATTCATTTGCCCATTTTAAAATTAGATTATTCATTTTTTTAGGGACAAGCTTCTTGAGTTCGCTATATTTTCTGGGTATCAATCCCTTTCCTGAGGCATAATTTGCGAATGTTTTCTTCCATTCTGAGGGCTGTCTCTTCATTATAGCTCATTTCCTTTGCTGTGAGGAAGCTTTTTAGATTGATGTAATCCCATTGTCTATTTTAGGGACTATTGCCTATGCTTTAGCAGTCTTATTTAAGAAATCTTTCGGGGAACTAGCAGTTAGCATAATGGCTATGCCGCTGGACTCCCACGTAGTCGACCACAGTTCGCGTCCCGGACCCAGTGGCTTAAAACTCACACCGGGCGCGTGTGCCTGTGTGCCCAAGATCCCGAGAGGAGAATGGAGGGGAAGGGATTGCGGCGTGACCATCTCCCCCTGGGGGGTGATTTCTTGCTTTCTGTCTCTCTGTCTCTCTCTGTCTGTCTGGCAAGTGCACGTGCCCTATAGCGAAAATCTCTCCAAAAAAAAAAAAATTACAAAAAGAAATCTTTGTCTACTCCAATGTACTCAAAAGTTTTCTCTATGTTTTCTACTATAACTTTGTAGTTTGAGGCTTTATGTTTAAATCTTTGATCTGTTTTGAGTTAATTCTAGTTAATGATAAGAGACAGGGGGTCCACTTTCATTTTTCTGCCGATGGATATCCAGTTCTTCCACACTATTTGCTTCCACACTATTTCCTTTTCTACACTGTAGTGTCTTGGAACCTTTGTCAAAAATCAATTGGTTGCATGATTTGGGGTTTATTACTGGATTCTCTATTCTGTTCCATTGATTTATGTATTGATTTTTGTTCCAGTACAATGCTATTTTGATTGTCACTGCTTTGTAATACATTATACTTTAAAGTCAGGTAGTTAGGTGCCTCCTGTCTTATTCTTTTGAAACAGTATTGCCTTGGCAATACAGGGTCTTTCATGATTACAAACAAATTTTATAATCATTTCTTTTTTCTATTTCTGTGAAGGTAGTAGGATTGCAATTGCATTGAATATCTAAATTAATTTGTGTAGGACTGACATCTTGATTATATTGATTCTTCCAATCCAATCCAAGAGCATGAGATGACTTCCTTTTTTTCTTTTAAATCATACTCTATTTCTTTTTTCAGTGTTTCTTAGTTTTCCTTATAGAGGTCTTTCACCTCTTTGGTTAGGCTTATTCATAGGTATCTTATTTGTTTTGTAGCTATTTGTAAACAGGATTCCTTTCTTCAATTCTGTCTCAAGTCTCTTCATTGTTGGTGTATAAAAATGGTAGAGATTTTCACATATTGACTTTGTATCCTGAAACTTTACTGAATTCATTTATAACTTCCAAGGGTTCTGGGTGTGTGTGGATTCCTTTGGATTTTCTATGTATATAATCATATCACCTACAAATAGGGACAGAATAGCTTCTTCTTTTTCTACAAGGATGTCCTTTATTTTGCTCTCTTGTCTGACTGCATTGGCTATGACCTCCAGCACTATATTATAAAGGAGTGGAGCAAGTGGGCAGTTTTGTCTTATTTTGGTTTTTACTGGGAAGGCTCTCAGTTTTTCCCCATTCAGTTTATAGCACTTATGGCTATTAACTTGCCTCTTATGACTGTTTACATGTTTTCAGTGGGTCTGTCATATATGGCTTTTATTATGTTAAGGAATGTCTCTTTTACCCCTATTTTGCAGAGAGTCTTGATCATGAAAGGCTGTTGTATTTTATCAAATGCTTTTTCTATATCCATATGATCTTTATCTTTCTTTCTGTTAATGTGGTGTATTACATTCATTGCTTTCCGTATGTTGAACCAACCTCAGAATAAAGCCTACTTGGTCATGGTGGATAACCTTCTTGATATGTTGTTGGATTTGGTTTGTTAATATTTTGTTAAAAGAATTTTGTATCAGTATTCATCAGAGATATTGGTCTGTAGTTTTTGTTCTTGTTGTTATGTCCTTGTCTGGTTTTGGTATTAAGATGATAGTGACTTCATAAAATGCATTCAGGAGGATTCCTTCCTTTTGAACCTGGAATAGTTTAAGGAAACTTAGCTCTTTTTTAAAGAATTTTTAGAATTCAGAAGTGAAACCATTTGAACCTGGGCTTTTCTTTGTTAGGAGACTATCACTAATTCAGTCTCTTCACTTATTATCAGTCTATTCAGGCTTTCTATTTCCTCTTGACTGAACCTATGTAACCTGTCCAGAAATTGTCAATCTCATCTAGCTTTTCTAGTTTGTTGGTATATAGTTGCTCATAGTATTCAATCATACTTTTTCATATTTCTGGTATATCAGTTGTAATATTGCCAGTTTCATTACTGATTTTATCTATCTGGTCCCTTTCTCTGTTTTTCTTGATTAGTCTAGCTAATGGTCTATCAATTTTGTTTATCTTCTCAAAAGACAGCTTTTCATTTCATTGACCTTTTTGTATATTTCTTTTATTCTCTATTTCAGCTCTAATATTTACTTTTTTTCTTTTTGGTTTATTGTTGTTCTTTTCCAGTTCCCTACGATGTGTGTTAATTTATTTATTTGCCACCTTTCTATTTTTTTCTTGTGAGCACTTATGGCTATAAACTTGCCTCTTATGACTGTTTACATTGTGTCCCAAAAGTTATGTAGAGTACTGTGTTCACTATTCTTGGGTTCAATGAATCTTTTATTTTCAGTCTTAATTTCTTCAGTAGTTTGAAAGTCATTGAGGAGTAGATAGTTTAGTTTCCATGTTTTTGTGTATTTTTGAGGACTTTTCTTTCTTTTTTTTTTTTTTCCCTTTGGAGAGATTTTCGCTATAGGGCGTGGGTGCTCGCCAGACAGACAGAGACATTAGAGACAGAAAGTGAGAAATCACCCCCCGGGGGTATAGTCACGCCGCAATCCCTTCTCCTCCATTCTCCTCTCGGGATCTTGGGCACCCACGCACACGTGCTTGGCGTGAGTTTTAAGCCACCAGTTCCGGGATGCCAACCACGGTCGATTACGTGGGAGTCCAGCGACGTAGCCATTACACTAACTGCTGGTTCCCTTGAGAACTCTTTCTGTGCTTGATTTGAAGTTTTTCTGTTGTGGTTAGAGAAGATACTGGATGTAGTTTCTATATTCACAAATTTTATGGCCTATTATGTTGTCAATCTTTGAAAATATTCCATGTGGCAAAGAGAAAAAAGTATATTCCTTAGTTACTAGAAGGAATCCTCTCTATATATGTGTCAGGTCTATTTGGTTTATGGTATCAATTAGTTTAGTTCCTGTGCTGCTTTATTTTTTGTCTCAATGACCTGTCCAGTGATGACAGTGGGGTACTGAAATTTCTAACAATTAGTGTATTGTAGTTTATATTTTCCTTTAAATCTAGCTTTCTTTTACATAGCTGAGTGCCTTGGC